CTCCGGTGGAAATGTGTGCCTTTCATCTAATCTCTCTCACATCTCTTTAGCTGACTGATAAATACGCGCCGGAAGAATTGTTTTATCTCGAGATAAAATATTATTTTTTCTTCACGTATTGGCCGCAAGAGAGCCGTTGTTCTCTCAAATTTCGGCACAGAAAGAAAATGAAATAAACGTGATTATTCAAGTGAAATAGTATATTGATGAATCAATCAGCAGTGAATGAAAGAAGAAACATTGCACGCAATAAGCATCGAACGAGACGATAAGCTCGATCGTTATCGACTCATGAATGGCATTCCACGAAATTCCGTTCGTCATCGTCGTCGAAAGAGGGAAAGAAAGAGAGCGCGCTATGAGAACCGCTGGTTGCGCGTGACGACGCGCGATGCAAATCGTGCATATAGAAAGACATTGTCGGACACCTCCGCGCGTCTTCCTTCCTTTTCTGATGTTGCGCCCCGTCAACTTATCGTCCAAGGTTGGATCATCCGGCCGTAGAGCTCCTCATAGGTGGAACAAAAGTCAGACTGGCCTCTTTTTCTCCGTCTTTCACTTTCGTTTCGCGACCTTGCTCATCGGATGCGAGTCTGCAGCGTTACGTAAGGCTGTAAAAATTGTCTCCACCTAGAGCGGTCCTTTCTTTCTCTCGATCGTTCCGGTCGCGCTTTCGGAAAAGATGTCTTCTAACTAAAACGGATGAATCTCTTCGTTGAGATAAACGCCGCCGCTGCTAATAACGTGGCTTGAAAAATTTGGCTACGGGAGAAAAAAAGATGTGCGTCCTTCGCTCGTAGACTTTAAGAGTCGAGATATCCTTGAGACGATCCTACGTGCGAAAAGGTTAGGCCCGCTTAGCGGTCACACCGGATCCGAGCAAACCGGAGAAAGATCATCCGATAAATCTGACGAACCGACACCACAGCGAACGGAGACGCGCCTAATACCTCAGACCTAAATTGTCGGTGGGCGTCCGACTAATGGATCGTAATGAGAGTTGTCGGGCCAGCATAATGACCATGCTGAAACGAACGCCGCCGAGTTCGATGGGAAAGGGATGAGAGCGCGCGTGCAAGAAAAATGATCCTGACAAATTGCTATCCCCACTTATATATTACACTTATATTAGGTGCGTTTGTCTAACCCGAGAGTTAAAATCTACTTTTTGCTCGTGCGGCAAGATTCGCCGAGCACGGGAGGAGGAAGAGTTTATTCTCGGCCGGAGTGAAATACGACGATCATCCAACCTACTTATTCGCGGCATTTAAACCCTACTGAAATCTCAATTCTTTAGGAGGGAGTGTGCGAAATAAGAAAAGATTGAATGGATTTTCAATGAACAAGCGGTTATTGCGCGCGATGAGCGTCACTGCGCGACTGATCTCTCTCGCCGGTCTCGTTCGCCGCTCAGCAAGTGAGTCACTCCCGAAGTAGCGTCGGATAAGAATGAACGCGAACAAATAACCTCGACTCTTTCAACACCACTGATGTCGATCGGCATCCGCTTTCTTGAATAAGGACGAGCGTTAGGAAGAGAGACGTGAATTATTTCAACTGTGAAACCTTTCTCGTTGACCGATAACGTCCAATCGTCATAACAACGTTCGCGCATACTGTGTAAAAGTAAAATTTACGACGCGAAAACCCCCTGAAAATCTGTCTAAATTCGATTCTACCGCAGATAAATTGGGAGCACGCGAGTCGAACTGGAGCGAAGGATCTGGTTCAACGTCTCGGCGGAAATGGTGATTCCCACAGCTTTCCCCCGGGCCCGTTCATGCGCTACCATTGTTCGCGGGCCGTTCGCGGCGGCTGTGTGATTATGAATGAGCGTGCGCGCCGCTATACGCACCGCCGACCTGTGGACACGTGCGCGTACGCGAAGGAGCCGGTGGAGAAGAAAAAAGAAGAGGACGGATCCTATTACACCGCGCGTCGGATAGTGTTTCCTGCCGATTCTCTCGCCGTTTCTCGTATCGTTCGTGCGATAACGCGCTATCAATCGAGCGATATCGCGGGACTGGAAACGACGATTTTCTTTCCAGGACTCGATTGCGCAGATAGCATGCCACACACGTCGTCGAGTGGAAAGCCGTTTTTTCTTCAACTGCTCACCATTCGGCGAGATCAATTGTTTTACTTCATTTTTAACTGCAAGGCTGCTCCCGAGCGCTTCCTACAAAAATGATTGGACACTTCCAAGAAAGCGTTGGTTCTGTGCTTCACAAAATGACCTTGAAAAGTATTTGAGAAACACCTGCGGCGTAAAAGTCTCTCTCGCCAAAATAGGCGTCGTAATCCCTTCGTTAACGCGAGAAACAGGTTGCGCGGATGCAAGCAAATTAGCGCGTTCCGGTTCATTGATAAACGTTCCTGATCTCGCCGGCTTTTTCCTGCGAGGTAACAGTTTCGTGTGACGCGCGTGGTGTTACCACGCTTACATTCGTACGTCACGTTACAACACACCGACGTCATCCACTATGGAAGTTGTTCATCTTTGCGCGACATTTATAAAGTGACGTTCGCATCCACATATTACTTAATATCGCATGCTCCATCAGGATCAGTCGCTTTTATTTTGATTTTGCAACGCAGTCGAACTAAAAATAACCGTTCGTGTGTGAAATACTTGTGCGTTAAATTTTCAATCGCTTCCTCCGTTAAGGAGCGTCAGCTGAGAGAGGGGAATTGGAGGGAAATTCGAGCGAGAGACGGTATCGCGCGGAACGTTCGTGACAATGACGTTACGCGCAGCGTAAGAACGCCCCTGCATTGACGTAGCGCCAAGGTTAACGCAGGGACGTCTCGAATCGAACGCCTACGGGTAACAAGCGCGACCTTAACGACGCGTTCCGCCGTGTTAAATTCATCGATTTGAGCGTACTTTCGCGATTAATTGGCCCGACTTAACAAAAGGAGATTTCGAGACGGCAACATGTCTGTTCCCTTCTCTCCACCGAAATTATTTCCAAGAGAAGGAAAAAAGAAAGTGAAAATGTCTGAGAAAGAATGTTAGGAAAAAGAAATATTAATGGAAATTTGCATAAAATCGAATTTCTTGTTAACGCGAAAATATATGCGAGAACACAAGAGTGATTTGCAGCGTAAAGAGCCGGCAACAAGAAGGACTTACCACGTGAACGTTAGGGAGGCCGACCGGGTCACTCTGCTTCTTGTCCGTCTTCTTGGCCTGCCGCTTCGCCTTGCTCTCGAGGAAGCGCTGCTTCAGCATCAGGGTGTCCTGTATGTTCTGTTCGCACTGACCGGTGAAGCTCTGGTCGAACCTGGGTATGCAGTCGGTCTGCCTGCGCCGGTAGCTTTCGATTCTTCGTCGCAGACGGTCCACGACCGCTTGCCTCTTCGGGGTGAGCACCTCACCCATGCCGGGTGCTTGGCCCATTTGCTGTTGGTGCTGTTGTTGCAAATGCTGCTGCTGCTGCAAGTGCTGCTGCAATTGCTGCTGACCCAGCTGACCGGCCGCGTTGAGATCGTGTATCGTCGATGCGTGCCCGTTCGGGCCCTGGCACACGTTGATCGTGCCGGGGGGGCCTTGCGCGGGCTGACGGGGCAGAAGCCCCCCGGCCTCCATACAGCCCCCTAAATCCACCGCAGAATAAGCCAGCTCTCAAGCGTCTCAGGCGTTGATGACGACGCGTCGTCGTCATCCACCCTCGGCGCCCGCGAGACGAGCATCCTCCGTTCGGCGCGCACGTGGCCTGCACTTGACCGCGGTCAAGATCCCTTTCTTATCTCGGAAAGGAAGCGCTAGGGCATGATCTCCCCTCCTTTAGAAAGTAGCGTATTACACGCGAACTTTTCAACGCACTCGTTTACAAACAACGCGGCGCTCCTCCGCCGCGCGCAACGGAAGACTCGACGACGACGGAAGGTTGGTCGCGCGCGACCAACTTCTCGATAAGAGTTCGCCTTTCTCTCTCCCTTCCTCCCGCCGCGGTAGAGGGAGAGACTTTCGGGGGCACTTCGTGACGTTGCAGCGCGTCGATAATCGGCACGAGCCGATAACGCACCACCGGTCTGATCTCGGACGATCGCTCGTAGAGGACGCGCTAAATATCTACGGCGGATATTTCTGCGTCACAACAGGTAGTTGAGCGAGGGCAGCGTGCTGTCCGGAGAAAGAGAAGAAAAGAGAGGTCGGGAGGGGGACGGTAGCAGGGAGAGGGAGACGAAAGAGTGATTCCAGCGGAGAGTCCTTACGCGCACTCGCCGTTTGACGCGCGCGCGATTTTACGTACCTCTTCTCGTCGACAGCTGCTGCTCGCTTTCTCACGATGCTCGCACGAATCACATGTCATCGAGCGTTGCCATCGAACGATCTCGCGCACCACAAACAATTACATAACCTCACTTCTCGCGCGCGCCCGCTCTCTCCGCGACGATAGTCCTTCGCGCGCGGGTGCTCGATCGCACCCGGCTGACGAGGAACGATGCGCACGTTCTGAAACCGCTCGTTCCCGAGCGAACGCGCGCTGCCATTAACAGAACTGCGCGTACCTACGGAAGCGTTCAAACCGCGAACCGTAATTACAGTCGCCGCGACGCTGCTGCATCCCGACGGCGACGGGCGCAACCGTCCTCGTGACTGTGACTGTCTATCGGCATCGCCCAACGTGGCGCCATCGCACGCCGGAACGACGTTTTCAATCGCGTTTCTCTCTCATCGTGCATCATTGTTTACAGAGATGTCGGTAAAGTTGCAATTTATTCCAGAAATTTCTACATACGTACTGAAGATTTCGCAATCTATATATCCTTCAACTGAACACATGTTTCGAGTGGTACAACGTTCTTACTTGTTACATGATTTATTAGTGCAAAATTGTTCTTGCTAGAATTAACCTACGTTTACGCACCTTACAAACTGTTTCAGGTTAGAAAATTCATGAGTGCTTGATTATTATCCACGTGACATTTCGATTAAAAGATGACTTCGACAAAGTTTAAAAGTAAAATCCCGACTATCCCGGGTACAAAACCTTCCGTCAAAAATTCGCAGTTACTCATATCAACAGGAATACCTTCTTTGGATCATATGATAGGTTTGTCAATATGTGTTATCCTTTTTCTCAAATATAATTATATCTTTAAAATCTTTTTAGGTGGAGGTTTACCCGTTGGTTCAATATTTCTAATTGGTTCGTATTCAAATAATCTATTCAATATTTAAATTACATAGAATTTTTGACAATTAATGACAATATTTCTACACAGATAGACTGTGTCGAACAGAAATTTTCATAATAGTTATTAAAGAATTAATTCAATTATGTTAACAAATAAATACATAGGATAAGCTTATGTTAACGAATAAATACAAGGTATAGGATAAGTTCTACAGGCAAGTCTTACCCAAGTAGCTCCGATCTGTTGACGATCCCTTGACAAAAAAACATCTATGACACGTACCTCTACTATTAAGTATGTTCTACCATTTGCTGCATACTTGTTTACTAATTATTTAATTAATTCCCTAGTAATTACTAAAGAATTTGCAAAATTCTGATTGATTTCCTCGTTCAATTTCACATGGTCTTCATAAATGCAAGTGTTCTGTCATTAATTATCAAACTCTATATACATGTATTATTAAGAAGATAATTTATCTTTACAGAAGAAGATAAGTATGGCTTATATGCAAAAGTCATGCTAAAATACTTTGTGGCAGAAGGAGTAGTTACTTCTCAGCCTGTATTGGTTGCATCACAAGACGTCGAGCCTTCGAAATTTGTGTCAGAATTGCCTGCTGTTGTGAATGATTTGGAGACGGAAGTAACAAATTCAGATCATATGAAAATTGCTTGGCGCTACCAGAATATGAGAGTGGTGGATTCATCTCCTACAGGAAGTCAGGCGTTTGGTCACTTTTATGACCTTACAAAATCGATGCAACAGGAGCTCCTGGAACAAGCGGATATAAAGGAGTGGCATCAGGGTGATCGACAGAACGATACGTTTGAGAATACTGCTTATTCAGACCTGTTACGCACCGTTCAGGAAACTTTGCATAATGGGGAATATTCCGTCGACGAAACGCCAGAGAAGAGGAAGATTTTAAGAATTGCTATTCATTCCCTGGGATCCAGATTATGGCTCTGCGACACAGTTGACTCGTCGCGTTGTGATTTGTTCAAGTTCCTCTATTGCTTAAGAGCACTGTTGAGGAATTCCTACGCTGTTGGCCTGATAACGACTCCGGTTAACACTTTCGGCAACAATGTAGGTCTCGAAAATTTAGCTCTATGTCAATGAATACTTTTGCATCGTATCGTTTTTAGGATGCTGTCGTCGAGAGAATCGAACACATGTCGGACATAGCGATCAGGTTGGAATCGTTCGCGGGGTCCGCGAAAGAGACTAATCCGTTATTTAAAGATTATCACGGTCTCTTGTACATGAATAAATTGTCTGCATTAAACATGTTGGCACCTCAGTGTCCACAATTCAGAGATCTAGCGTTTAAATTACGCCGAAAAAAGTTTATTATAGAGGTCAGTCGATTTTATGGTTAGATACATCGATGTTGAAAGAAATCCTCCTGTTTACTTTTTCAGATTTTACATTTACCACCTGAATTTGCGGATACGGCTCAACGAGAACAAGATGACGCGATAATATCAGGATGCATGAGCGGATCTCGTAAAAATATACTGGACTTTTAGATTTAAGTCAATTTTGTACCGATTTAACTCAATAATAATTGATATTTCTATTTAAAATCAATATTATATTTTTTACTTATGTCTTATATGTTACTTTTATTATAACCGAGAAACTTAATACATTTTTCGATTATGATCTTCCCTTTTATCTTTTGTGACTGCTTCGTACGTAGTAAACCGGATTTTTACGTACACGTAGGTCACGCCTATCCCGTTTAACGGGAAATGAATGGTGCGACGGCTGAATTAATGCAGACAAGAGGAGATAGGCTTCGTGCACACTTACAATAATGCGTGTAAAATATCTTTTTGCCGTGTAGCACAATATATGAATTTAACCTGCAGGGCGATTCGCATTGTAGGAAAATAATTTTATGATATTTTCAAATAAAACTTAAATGGATCAATCAAGATTGCGTCAACGTTACATAGGAAACACTTTTTTATTACACTTTAATTCCCAAGGTATTTGTAAGAAAATGTATATTTTCCGAATAACTAATATAAAAGTAAGATGTGATTTACTATCAATATACTTTATCTGCGAAAATAATATTAGTAGTGATCTAATAGTTGCGGATTTGTAATTTCTGCACATGATTTTTTTATAAGATTTCAAAGTATTCTAATTTACTTCCTAATATCTAAAGCAGTAAAACTGATTAAAATTGCCAAGTAATTGAATCGCTGTTTCTTTTTTTGAGTAAAAAGTAATTTCTTCTGCGAAAATATTTTTCACATATATTTAAATAATTATTTAATTTTTACAATTAAAGACATTATATATGTTACTGGTTTTATTAATAATTATACGCTGAAATATCTGGTGAGAAATTGAGGTAAAACTTAACATCGGGACTCAAAAACTTGGCGTGCCCTGGTTGTATTGAAACACACTGACCCGTAAAGTGCACATATTATTGACGTATATTAACCCTTTGAGCGTAGAGTAGCACAGCGAAAAAGCGTTTTATGTAGCCGGAACTCAGCAAGATTGTCAAACGTTTCATTTGTGACTGATGATATCAAGTAAAACAGAAATAAATTAACATTCTGAATTTGAAATCATAAAACCTACGACATCAACTATCGCTGGCAAATGAAGAAAGAGAACGTGCAAGTAGGAATCCTTATAAATATCGTTTTACAAAGCTTGTAACGAGTCTTTTATTCTGAGCGTAAATATGCAACCTCAGTGGTTAAACATGGTAATAAATATCAATATTAGAATTGATATAGAAATAGAAAGCTAACATTAGAAGTGATGTAAAACTAAATAGAAATGATAAAATACGGTGTAGAATATCGCTCAGAACATAATAGTATTCATGTCATCAACAAATTTTAATTCATGTCCTAGGAATGATAAATATCCTCTTAGCGTGGAAAGCTATGTTCAAAAATATTGACTAACAAAGGATGAAGGGGTTCTAAAAATTCATTCGGCGAGCATGTTACTTTAACGTAAGAAAGATGCGCGATAACGGCTTGAATATTTAGTCGAGAGAATAATATGACACGGGTCAAGAAACGAATTTGAGTGAAAACGCGAGCGAAAGCGTGTATTACAGTCGATCAAAGCGATCAGAGCGATCATCTGCCACTGAAAGTTCCCCTCCTTGTTAGGTGAACCTTCACCGGGACAAATCGTAGGGGAACCGATCACCGATGCAAATATTCGTGCAGAAAACTTTTTATCCCCTCTTTTACCATCCACACCTTTCCATTTCCTTCCGGTTCCGACGCGCATGAGGGCACGCAACGCAAGCGCGACTACGAAGTTTCCTACGGCACTGCCATCCACCACACACGAGGGGTTTTCAGTCTGCGAACAAACGCGATCAGATCCACTTCGAAAAACGAGTTGCTACAGTCTGTGACTTATATGACCTGATTGTGCGAGTATCGGACTATTATGCGGCGCTCGGAGAGTTCGGTTCGTAGGAACTTTATGTGACAAGAAGTCAGCGTAAAAAATCGTTAATTGTTGATAATTGTCTCGAGCGAATACGTCACCATGAAAAATACCAAAGTGGTCCAGTCGCGCGCATTCGTTTGCTGTACAAACATTATTTTCCTGGTGAGTTATTATTTTCCAGTTATTTCAGAAAAATACCGCAAAAAATTTACTTTTACATATAACGAATATACTTCGTGACATTTGAAAATAGTATTCGTTACACATAAAGGTATTGGAACGTTACATTGTACAAGGAAAGTTATGTTATTGTAAGTAACCTTGAAAATCGATGGAACTTGTAGAAGAATGTTGTTTTTCAGCTGTCGGGTTTCGTATTGATATTATTGGGAGGATTATTATTAGCCGATAACAAGCGGATTTTATTGTCGCGTCTACTGGGAGCTGGTGACATCTATCCCGATCAGCCGCTCTTCTATTACTTGGCTTTCGCTTTAGTCGCATCAGGATTTCTTATCGGGCTCCTTGGATTCTGGGGGGCTTATCTCTATGATAGTTGCTGCTTCACTATTTCCGTAAGAACGTAGATATAAGTATGCAGTACTTTATGTGCAATTTCTCTTGACTTTTTATCTTACTTTATTCATTTCATGTTACTCGAGAACAGTATACGGTGTCTTGCTTGCGAATTAAATATTAAAACGAAAGAATCAAATCAATATTGACGCGGAAAGAGCATGTATTAATTTATATTTGTATAATAAATGTTAAAGTAACACAAAATTTCACGTTTTTACACCAAAATTTTCTTTTATTATTCATGACGCGTACAAAGCGATAAAATATATATAAATTATTTATTAGATGTCTTTTCGTACATTTATGTAGGAAAGACACTGGATCTAAACGTTTCTCCCTTTACGCCGGCAACTTCAAATGCATTAATGAGTTGGGAACTGTTCGATCTACACGTTCCCTCGCGAATTCAACGCGGCGCGTCTGTTCATCGTATCTATCTAAAACCAGATTTCCTACTTTGGACTCGGTCACGCGTCGTTGCCCGGAAACGGATCCGTTCAGACACGCGCGTAAATAGAAGGAGGGCGCGTTCGAGCGCCGCGTAAAAACACTAATTATGCGCTCGTGGACGAGCGAACGTGAGTTTGCTGAGAGAATAAATAGTACACACAGAATACGAAATCGTTCGTAATTTTCTTTTCTCTCGGTAAAATTAACCAATTCATTCACGTGCTTATCGACGAGATAAGAGTAAATTTAGTGAAAACTTTTACCGTTTAATATTCCCCTGTTGGTAAATTTTGTGTCAAATGATGATAACAGCGGAAATACGCTCTTTCATATATAATATACTTCACTGTAGATTTGTACATATATATATATATATATATCGATAAAATACATCGAGACGATTGTGCAAATTATATAAGATTAATATTTTACCGCAGACATATATTCGGCAGATTAAAAGTTGCATCACTATGTTTTCGATGAATTTGCTAAGTATTCTTATATTCAATAGGGAAATGTATCTCTTGAAAATTACTTAAAAATAAATCCTCCTGATTATACTGAATGTCCAAATATTAGTATCGGATAAACAATGTAATGTCATCCTTCTTCAGTCATCTCTGGGCCTCTCTTCGTGATCACGAAAATTTAGCCGGAGCTGGCAGTCTTTAACAGCAAGTCGGTGACACAGTGTTTGTAACAGTGATATTAATTAAATGTTAGAACGTTATGAACAGCTAACGAGAACGAGAACAATTTTATTCATGAGTAATTGGGCGGTTCAGGATCAAGCTTTGGATTTTACTCCTTTCAGTATCTCGTAATAATGATCCTACTATTCCTTGGCGAATGCACCGTCTGCATCATCGCGATGTTCTGGCCCCAATTGCTGGGAATCGATGTAAGGCCAGCGCGTTTGATACGCGCTTTACAACGTAGCTATGCCGTGCCTGGCCGCGAACAATTCACCGCGGCCCTTGACTTGGCACAAACGACAGTAAGTTTATGCAAAATCAATTTTCACAATTATCCATATACACGCTTTGTTATCCATGTATTGGGTCAGTTCGGCTCGATTTTTCATTCACATTAGCGCGTTCAACAAAACAAATGATTTATAAATCAAATAATCGCCGTCATTGTCTATGATCCTTCGCCGACATTTTAGAGGAAAATCAAGCCGATTTTGTCAACTGTTGTATACTTCGTTACATGAATTACATCGTCGTAAACGTTTGCAACGAAGGAAGAAAGAAAACATTATCTGTCGACTATTACAGTTCTCCTGTTGCGGCATCAACGGAAGCAACAATTACGGCACGTCGTGGTGGCGGCTGCAGGAAGTCCACCGTAGAGAATTAGTGGTGCCTCTCAGTTGTTGCACCCTGAATAACGCCAATGAGACGGACTCCTTCCTCAACCCTGCGCCTGCCAATCTCACTCTCTGCCAGACTCTGAACCCTGCCGAACATCAATACGCCCGACACACAGTGGTATGTGGTTATAATGAGGAAGTTATTAGCTCTCTCTCTCTCTCTCTCTCTGTGCCGGCATACGCGCGGCCAACTTTTCGAATCAACTCGCACAGACGCGCCGAGGAAATAAATGCTTCTTAAATATAGAATATCGACACTTTGCCGATATAGCGGCGGAATCTGCACGTCGCTTCTCGCTGTGTAAGCGTAGGAGAAACGCCGTTCAATATTTTCGTCCTATGATAAGGGCGAGTTTTCGAACGCGAGAAATGCCAATTTTATTTCCACTCCTAAAAAAATCGTAGTTTCTCGTTACGCGAACGCAATATCTACAGCTCTGTTCAGTTTGAATTTTTCACGCTTTGTCCGGAGAGGCTCGCGATAAAGCCGGCATGTCCTCGCGCGCGAACGTTAGGGCGGACAATCGTTCCCTGGTTAACGGCCTTTGTCTCGCCTGGTAAATCTCCATAGGAAGACCAAGGTTGAGAGCGAACTCATTCGGCGGTTTTTTTTTCTTTATTTTTGCACGTCCATTCTTCGATCGTTAATTATGTATCTCAATGACAACACGTTGAAATGCGTATCCTACGTTTGTTTTACATTCAGGGTTGCCTCGAGCACATCGAGAAATGGACGCAGACTCAGGCGCTGATCCTCCTAGCCATCCTATTAGCCGTCATGTTCGTCGAAGTTATCGCGCTTCTCAGCGTGCTTCTTGCCTGTTCACGCGAGAAGAAGAGAAGCAAATCGTCGACTTTTACCTCCACGCAAACTTTGAGCCCGTTCGCGGAAAGTGATCATGATTTCAGTAAGAAAATGAAAAGATACACAAGTATCTTGTAAATGCTACAAGCCTATAAAGAAATAGTAATAATAATATGTACGTTGTACGATCGTGGACAGAAAAAGTGTTGTTACACTTTTCTTCTCGTTTGAAACCGACGGTCCAATGAGAGAACTTATTTTTCGAAAATGAGTTTTTTCGTCGTTTCGAACTGCATAAAAAAGAAACAACCTTTCTGTCGTACCATTCTCTTTGACGAAGATTTTCAGTTTTATACATAACGTATGAAATGGAAAATCGCAGAAGTAACTCAGTTATAACAGCACGGTTTTACAATAGCTCTAATTACAACGGAGTCAACCTTATATCTGAAAGGTTAAAAATTGTGTAACAGTAAAAAGTTTCAAGAATAGTACATGACTGTACATATTTGTAGATCGTATTTCCAACAATGTGCTGTTAAAATTGGAAAAAGGAAATGCGTTTGCGAAGCAACTATATATAATTAACGAGCCGTTATCCTTCACTATGTTAGTTTGATAGAAAAGTTTGTTCGTGTGCAGGCATAGGAATCGAAAACAGAATACACACGGCCGGAACGACGTTCGGAGGTAAGTCATGAAGATGGCTGGAGGGCGGCGAAGGACGAAAGGCTATCGACAAGAATAAGCGAGAAGCTATCTGCGACGATTCCAAGTATAGCGTATTAGCACCAAGCGGCAAAAGCATAATCGAGGAGTGGCGAAACCCGCCCAAATACACCGATCGGGCGTACGAGGAGCGCGCAGTTGACGTGGTGATCGGTCCTCCGATTCAGAAGTTGGCGACGAAATTTTCGCCGCCGCCGAACGACGATAAGCTCAAGATCAAGAGGCCGCAGGGCGGCGGTACGGTCAGAAGCATCCCCATCAAAGATTACAAGGCGTCGATCGCGCACAACATCGGAACGCTGAGACGATCGGTCGCACCTCAGTCGCAATTCGAATCACTCGTTTCCGAGCCAGAGAGAAGAGCGAACCATCGCACCGCCTCGCAAGTCGAGTGCCAAAGGAAGTCCCTCGACAACCAGCGCGACTGTTATTGCATTGATATCGAGGACAATCGGCAGTACCGGGTAAGTTTGTGCATTTTTAATTAACCACTTCAAGCTAAAAGTTAACTCATTGAAAACTAACAAAGTTAAAACTTTGAATAAGGAGGAGCAACGATCGCGGAACGACGAGTATTTCCGCACGAGTTCTCGGAGGAGAATCGGCTCGAAGGATGTTTCTTCGCAGTTGGGTCACGTTGGTCAGAAGGTATCCGTTTACGAGCAGCACGCCCTGCGCGACGCGAAATATCGATCGGTCTTCGAGATGAAGGGACACATCGGCGTACCGTTGGTAGGTATGCACAACGCCTGCGGCTTGCCCGTCGTGGCGAGTTGGCAAGACCACGAAATTCTGCCCCCCATCTACAGGAGTCCTCGCACGCTTCCGAACGTGCGACGACGAAGTCAGCGGAAGAGGAAGGATCGCGCGAGAGACGTCAAGAAATCGATGATCAAATCGGACGCAACAAACGGCGAGTTATCGAGGAAAGGGCATCGCCGCTCGTCGTTCGCTACATCGAAAGTGGGATCGCTGTCTTCGAAGAACTCCTTCAAGAAGAGAACGGCCAGGAGGCGTGGGATCAACCCGAACTCGTTGGTGGATACCTTCGGCAGGAGATCGGTTGAAGCGAACAGCGCGAAACGGGCGACTCTGTACGCGAAGGACGACGGGGAAGAGGCTGTTCAGGTTCTGAAAAATTTATGCCTGAATCCTCTGGCGCGCACCAATTCGGAATCGGATATGATGTGGTGAGGACGCTGAGTCCCGCTTTGAATCGGCGTATTGATATCTTGTGAAATCGTTCGGGACGACGCGACGTTTATCGATTATGCTGTCGTGTCTGATGAAATATACGTGTCTCTCTGCACATATGATTTGCTTAACTGTTTTAGCAGTGAAACTTGACGCAGAAAAATAGGAACGTACGACAGAAGTTTTTTTTTTATTCATTTTTTCAATTGTATCTCCAGCGATATCCTTCACACGTATATTCGTTTCGCTTCTCGTACAAATCAGTAACTGTAAGGTATTATGTAAATATATATCCAATATGTTTATATTCGAGATTTTTTATGTAATAAACAGAATCCTTGCTGCCCTCATTGACGTTGTGTTATATTTATCAAATGCGTGCACGTATTATAACATATGCACGCAAAGCTTTTCCCTTTGCGATGTTATTTCTTTCGATGGGTTTTTTCAACATATTGCAAAATTTACATTATTATAGTTATAAACGTCAGTACCGTAGAACATATCTGAAAGCAGGAGGATTTGTAGCATGATATTTTCCAATGGTATAAATTCGAGTAAAGATTGATTTACCGAGAGGAAAATTGTTAAATCCAGAATGAAGAAATCAGCGGCTGTGAAGGAAAATCTTGCGTGATAAAAATACAACATCATCTCGATTTTATCCTGAAATCGGTCAATTTCATTGAATGATTTATAAACTCGCTGATTCATAAACTTGAAACTTACCATGCGGCATTTGACATTTTGAAAGGACAGCCCGTATTTCTCCACACTCTCTTCGATGCGATTCGCCTGTAATAATAATGACGATTATTAACTGATATTCATTAGACGTTGAATATTTACATAAAATTGTACGTCACACGAGCGATCGGTACGTGATGTTGCGTCAACATCATACAGATCGGGTTGCCTATTCACTTTTGTAGCGAACGAACGCACCCGCACGCGTTTACCAACGAAGCGAGCAGGCAACTCATCGTACCAAGTTGATGCAACACTCTTGTATTAAATAACAAAAGTTCACCTCCAGAGTCGCCCAATGGTACATTGCAAATAAATAAATGGCTTGAAAGGATAAGTCCAGTATCGTCACTATCGCATTGTTGTCCTCTATGTCCTCTATGAACAGGTATATGACCGCGACGAATTCCACTAGTATAGACATGAAGGTGAACAAGGTACCTGTGCCGTATAAATCGTTTATCAACTCCGCACAGTCGATGAGCACGCCGTGCAAATGACGCACGTCGTAAATTGTGATCTTGCCCTGCAATTCGGCCACCGGTAACTCCGACACGTGCGGCACTATAATCTGGTTTAGATGACGGAATCGTTGACGTATCAGGTCCAGGTATATGACAGTGATGAAAACGCAGTAAGTACCAATTATGACAGACACGATTTCGAACGTCACTTTTAGCAGCGCCATCGTTCCTCGCTCTATATTTTGGCTGATGCTATAATATGTCTTCATAGTTAGCGTGGTGAGCGTGTATGCGAAGTATAACCAGATAAACATGTGTTTGTCCTTTCTTCGATATCCCAGCACCGTCGCTTTATCGTCGTACGCTTCGAGCTTGTCGCAGAACTACGACAATTACAGGATCAGCTGCGCTAAGAAACCCATTTGGTGGACCCATCGAGATGATTATTTGGATATGGGCGAACAAATGTTTTTTCTACAATTTGTTCGATAGACTAAACGTGCTTGAGAAAATGTTCGATTACATTTGATTGCAACTTGCAATTTTAAGAGCATACCCACCTTGGCAACAATTCGATTCTGCAAGGCCGCCACGAAGTGGTACGGGATCAACGAGACAAAGAAGGCGTTGCTTCGTAGGACGATAAGGAAGAAAAGAGTTCCGGCTATTTCAGGAGGCATGATGCACCACTCGTAATAGTTCACACTTGTGTACGCACAATGGAAGAATATCCACGCTAGACAATAATAACGGCCCCAGATACTGGCTGGTTTAAGCCGGCCGTTCACCAATTGGCAAGAAATCAAGCCCGTTATTTTGATAATTATTATCAGGAACTTGAGATTTTGGAAAGGCGTCTTCACTGCCGACTCCGTCATGACGGATAACGCTGCGCCCAGATCGCTCGACTATTTTCGACAAGCTCGTTTCTCGCTACTAAAATACCGCTTCGCGTAACATCCTAATGATTGCCTATGTGCGGATGCGACGGACTTCGATACGTGTTGTCGTTTTTTCCCTATTTTTTTTTCCATTCTTTCTTTGGTGTTAAATTATGTTCTGACGATGCAACCAGCGCGATAGCAGACTGAGATTAGAATTGTGTGACAAAGCACTGACACAATCGCGTTAACGACGATCGTCGGGATCGCGCGCATAACATTGTAAATCCATTTGCGGCGCGTTAGCTAATAAATGTAACAACGACATTAATCTTAGCGACGATACGTTATGGTCCTGCTCCACATCGGATCACGCGAGGCTCGTGCCGACGTGTAAAAAATCGATAAAGAAACGTGACTTTTTTATACGAACATTCGTTACGCTCGTGCGGAATCTATGTCGACGCTGCTATTAATTCTATACTGACTATCAAGCGTAGCTTGAACGCAGATTTTTAAATAAAATGTATGAATGCGCTATCACACATGATATTCATAAATGATGTATTATTTTACTATTATTATATTTATTTATTCAATTAAAAAAATATTGCACTATATAAGTAATGAAAAATAATACATTATTATATGCGTTTTTAGATATATTATACACTAATTTTATATAGAAAAAGTGGAAGTATTTATTGTATAATTCTTTATGAAGAAATATCATAAAGTTACATACGAGTGCATTTAAAATATATTTCTTACTTACATTGTCGTTGACAGATTATTTATTATTATTATAAATCTCTAATGTAAGTTGATTATCAGCTTGGACAAATTTGCAAATCGTCCGTCTTCTTTCTCTTAGATTTCGCTTGAGAAATTATATTAATATTATGAAATAAGTAGTTATCGATGCGACAATCTGAAAACGGAGCCATCATCAATATCTCTGTGATTAATTTAATTCGCGAAAATAAAAGCTTACTCACAGATTGAAACAGCGGCAGATCGATGTTAAAGAATCCCGCCGCCTCGAAAGATATTTGATTGTGTAGGAAATACGTGAAAGCGTCAATCTTCACCTGCAACGAGAGAAAAAAACCTGGTGAGAGATGAAAGATTACGCGAAGCGTTTGTTCTTCAAAGGAAATATTTGCTCTCACCATAGTTTCCCCCGAGTTAACAAGCGTGCACATGTCTTCACTCAGGATACAAGCAATATTGTTCGCCTGGAATGTGGTAAGCGTTTAAAATGAAGAACATTATAAATGAGACGTTACACGTGAGAAAAAATAGAATTAACAGAATTTTTTTTTACACAATTTTTTCAATGTTTAGTCCACTGAATAAATTATACGTATAGTTGCTGCACAAAAAAATTTGTGTTAAGAACTTTATGTTTAACACAGATAATATGTTAAAAAGTATACAAATATATGTTAAATCAACATATTCACCTTGTAAACATATTATTGTTTACGTGTTAACATGTTCTTATTAAAGTAACATAAAATATGTATAATGAGATATGAATTGATGCAACGATTGCAATTTGGTCAACAACTAAGTCAAAGCAGAATCTTGTTGCGCCAACGTATAATTTGCTCATTGGATACAATACTTTTTGAATGAAGATTGTTGCCAATTTTGTCGATCCAACCGTTTACTTTTCTCAGTGTAATTGTCAGAAAGTACGAAGAGATTCATTTACGAACGAAGTCGATTCAATACCTCCTCGGCCGTGAAGTGACAAATCATGCACAGAATCAGCACCTGCAAGATCGCCGGACACACTAAAGCGCAGGCAACGATCAATGGCCTCTCCCGAAAGAAACTTAAATTCGCAACAATATGTATCATGAGCGAAGCGAACCACGCCAACAGAGGAATACTGTACATATCGCAAAAGGCCTGCTGAGCGTCATACAGCATCGAGTGCAGGATCTTTACGTCTAGGATTTTTATCGCGTTCGAACCGTGACACTTCTCATCCCACGACACATTCGGCACGATCTCTCTGTTCAAATGCTTGAAGCGTTCCAACAGTAAATACAGAAGGACAAACTTGCTATAAGTGCCGTATAAATGCAGGATGGTTGTACAGATATCCGAAAGTTCCACGTAAAACCAAATTTCAGTCAACTCCTCCCTCACGATCACCGTCATAAGCAACAAATGAATAGCCATCGTCGCAAACATAGTGATCCAGAGTATCCATAAATTATCTTTCCTCGCGTTCTTCAACTGTGAAATTTTCTTGTCGTAGCTTTCCAGTCGATTGAAAAACTATAATGAAAATTTATGTCAGAAGGGCGGTGGGAGGGGGGGGGGGGGAAAAAAAGAACCAGTTAAAATNAATTATAACTACACGGAAAAAATCCTAATACGTGTAGCAGAACAGGGGCACCGGAAGAAAACGATATCTCTGTTATCGCGATCGACAAAAATGTTTATCTGAATATTCGATTATGTTAAAACTCGGTTGAGATAACACCTGTGTGAAGTCAGCTTCACATAAAAAAAAATTGAATATTTAGAAAAATTCTGTTTGCCCCCGAAGAGTTCTAGAGTTCTTAATCAATTTTAGGAATAGTTCTGACGTTTCAAGTCACCAGAATGAAATAACAGAGAACAATTGACTGAATAGAAATCCCTTTTTCAGGATTCTTTCCTGCAACCGAGCGTTCGTCACGTCCACAGACAACAGAAAATTAATTATACAAATCGAGTTTTTTCCATGCACATCGAGATCATATGACTCGTGCAGGTTTATTTAAAAAAAGAACTAAACAAGCACGGGAACGGACAGATTGAGATTTTTAACAGAGATGGAAAGAGAGGAATAAGATAATAAACATAAATTTAAGATATTTTGTTGTTTTCCTCACTTTAATAAAGTCATCTTGGGTAACGTAAGCGGCTATAATATTAATACTGAGACTCATATATCCTATCAAGTGTTTCACAAAATCTACTGTATATTTTATTTTGATTGATTCTATCTGCGTAAAATGATACAGAAGGAAACAGAAAAACGAAACAAACAGGCTCAACCAGATAACACAAATACTATAGAAGGGCCAAGAGCAACGTTTTAAACGACCCTCTGTAATCTTGTTGGCGAACATTCCGCACAATTTGAATAGCAGTAGGAACGGTTTTACGCGGTCCACGCATTGTCTGTGAGACTCTCGATATCGCTTCGACATAAATCCGCTTTTCGAACGTGAAAATTTCATTTGCACTGAAATTTTCGACCAACGTATTTATTATTTTTGATATTTAATATTAATTGCACAGAGTGAAAATAGCGCGTCGCCGCGACCGAACGCGTCCCTAAACTGTATCGTGGCTCGTATGAGACTGTCTGTAATCAATTGACTCGCTCATAGATTATCTTCACGCCTTTGCAGCGGTTGCTGACGTAAATAAAGGATTAAAGATAAATGAATACCTTTCTTCAAATTATATTGAATTATCTTGTACTGTTAATTCACGTTTATATAATTTTTACTGTCAATATATGTAAAAACGGCATAATTACAGTGTCATTAAATTATATATATAAGAAAAAGAAGTATATGAAAGTGATATTATAAAATTAATAGCTTGGAAATATACTTTAAAATCCAGAACAGAAAGAAACACCAAAAGACATTTTAGCAGTATTTATGAAAAAGAAATAAAATCGATTATGCCTCTTCTTTAATCGCTGCAAATTTGTAGTACAGTCGGCAAGTTACCGTGAGTACGTAAAAATGTTTTTCGTATCGACTACCGAAATATTTTCACTCGAGGGTAAGTCTTACTTTCGAACAGGAATATTGCCCACAGTCGATATTGACAAGTTAAATGCTTAAATTTAACAATAAGTTATATTACCACTACAAATAATTGACATTGTTATGGAAGCATTATCAGTCATAAGGAATTAACGTAATTCAATTTATGTATCTACAGAAATTAGAACCCTGTCATTTAATATGTATAAAAATGAATTTAAGTTCCAAAGTAGAGTCGCAATAATTTTTATTTTTTTATGTAAAAAATATGTCTGTTTTGACATGAAGTAGAAAAAGTAAAGAAGGAAAAATAGTGAGAAAATAGCAATGAGATTACGCAATAGCATTGATAAAAATTCCGGGGGAAGAAGAAGCCCTTGCGTGCCATCTTCTCTCGACCTCTTGCGACGAAGCATTTAAAGCCAGATTCGAAAATCTTGTCCCCGGATGAGTGGTTGTTCGGGGGCAGTCGATACATTCTTATTTCCATACAAAGCCTTTCAATTTCCCTACTGAGCCTTTGATATTTTGCAGGACGAGGGTCCCTTCACCCATACTGCGCGTCTCTCCGGCGTTGAGCCGCCGCGACTTCGATCCCTCCCTTGTTCCCATTGATCCCGGGCCGGCTTTCCTTTTTTCGCGCGGGGAAATTATGTAAACTGCCATAATGTGGCCGGATCGTGAATTCATCCGAGGAGTCGCGATTATGGACTTTGATATCCCGTCGATACGCTAAAAGCAGTTGCCATGTTTGCCGATTAATTTTCGTAGATGTCTGCACAAAGTCTTCCTTTGACCGAGCGAGCACAACGCCACCCACTTTATAATGTATAGCGCGAAGTACGTTTCATGCAGAGCTCGATGTGGTGCATTGTCGATGTCAAGATAGAGATTCGTCTCAGTAATCGATCGAAAGGATTTTCTCGGACGAGAAATTTCCTTCTTGCAGTCCTGATGTCTCTTTCAGAGGACCACGTTGGTCGGTGAAAGCACAAAGATCCCTCTCGGATTGTCAAACGCGACATCGTTTAGTTGCGGGCACTTTGCAATGATGTATGATATACGTCTCGCTAACCGCTACCTTATTGTGTCATTTTTGCGAGATCATAACGAGTAACATGGACCGATGTTAGTTACGCATTAGACAATTCGTTCCGGAAACCCTTTTGTGAAATCCTTTTGCGAACTCTTGTCGCCGTCAACGATTGAGTTTCGATGTTCCATACATGTGATACAGATGTTAAACTGGCCTACCTTTATTATGTCCAAGAAGCTATATATATTACGGAAATTTCTGCACTCATGAAATTAAAGAAAATTATATGAATCAAAATTGGATTCCTCAGTGCACCTTCCGATAGAAATTTAAGAATCAAATAAGGATGTCGATCTCTTATTCGTTGATCTCTTGATTTTTATTCTTATAAAATTCAATCAATAGCTTTTATGTCTTATTTATAAATTCTTGCAGGACTACTGTGCATACTATTTAAAAGTATAAATCCACCTTAAGGGATATGATTTTGAAAACACTCCCTTTTCTCCGAAAACTCGAAATATCTTCTCTTCGTTTTTTTCAAGATCCATCCAATTATGTTTGTATACATCACGACAAATAAACAAGAGAAATTGTCAAAGTATATTCTTTACTGTCCTGATCTATGCTATTGATCCATCATGGTTACTCTTTGAAGATTCGTCATACTTTACGGCAGATAATATCGCACAATAGCAAGTGTGTGGCATTGCGACGAGAAAGGTAGCGATCTTTGGAGCAGCCAAAGATCGTTAACAGCGGCGTCGTGATCCTCTCATTGATTCCCGTTGTGTCGACACAGTGACGATAATGGATCCTGCTCCGCTCGGACTGCGAGCAAACGGTCTGCGCTAGCAAGATAAATCGATCGCGAGCAATGCAAATGATGAGATGGAGCGGTCGCAGTCGGTCGAATGAAAGCCCATTACGAGGATCTTCGAAGACGTCTTCTCGGTGGCGTGCGCGAGAGGAGGCCGACGGGGAGAGTGGGTGCTGTAGGGGAGAACGAAGTAACATTGTGTCGGTGAAAGTTCGGTGAAGTGACACTCCAGATAAATATCCTGCCAGTGTTACACGCCGGGAGGATCTCCAGACTAGTGGATTCCTATCCTCCCGCTTCCTTCATCTCTCTCTCTCTCTCTTTTCCTCTCTGTGTTATTTATCTATATTTCTCATTAATCACTGATATTTCTAATAACTCCAGGGTAGCTTATATCTCGGTCAAAAAATTTATTTTGATTCGTCGCCTATTTAATGGAGACAAATTATTCATAAATCGAGTAATCTTCCTCGAACAACACGAAAAAACCTTACTAAACACATCAGGTATTTACATTAATTCAAGTATCAAACCGAGTGATTTTTGTCTGTGATATTTCGCCAATATTCCGACAGTATTCGCGTGTCTCTATCGAACCAAAGCAAATTTTTTAACACAAATCGTTGAAATTTTTTTCTCATTGTCGTGCAAAATCAATACATAGATTTATTGTTAGTCGTTCTCAACAACGACACGTCGCATCAATGTGGAAATTCACATCGTTCCGCGACGTCCCACTGACCAAAAACTACTTTAACTGACCAAGAAATCTGGGATTATAAGACAAATGACCGGCCAAAACCCTCAGCGACTTATTTTCTCGCAACTGTTGACCTAAATCTTAAGAAATCGCCGGACGGAGGGCCGGACGAACCCCTGCAGATGTCGACGTTGCGTCATGTTATATACATAAATTTTCCTTTTCAGCATGCAGGTTAGATTTCTCTTTGTTAGCCTTTCCCCCTTTTCCCGGGGAATCGTACAGAAATGTGTGAGTTCTAGACAAAAATCTGGAGCAGATTCAGAATGAATCGTGCTTGACTGGAGCATGGACAAAAGAAGAAAGAAAAAAGGACAGAGAATAAAAATCGAAAAAGAATGTCTGAGACCCGTATTAAAGTCGGATCTTATATTCAAGATCGTCTCAAGTTCATCCTGAGATGTTTTGTTACCAATGAAATGAGCATCTGAAGATAACACGGTCTTTGATATAAAATTCGATTATTAATACGGACCTTAGAATAGGAAATAAACGAGTTCTTTGCTTTACATTAACGTTCAGCAATCGGCAGTTCGCTAGTCGTTAATTTATCAGTTTCCGCTGGATATCAGGCGATAATAACATTCGATCATAATTTACTTTTTATCGTGCCATTAATACGAGACCCTCACTGTGTTAGTAACGTCAGCTTTCTAATAGCGTATATATTTAAGTGATACGATAATCACACATACACTCCTTATATATACGGGGGGAGAGAATTTTATAGTAAAAATCGATATATATAGAATTGCTAAGAAAGCAACCGAGAAATTCTCTTTTTATTTACTTTATGCATATACGTTGTCGGGATATTTTACACTTCTTTCATTAATAACTTTTTAACGAGCAACAGCTGAAACTTTTTGAATGTTATTTGGATTAACAATGACATAAATCAATGTTAAGCTGATCGGGTGCCTATTGTAAATTTTGACCGAATTGAAAAGGACATTATAGGTAAAAAAGGCTATATAATATCCTTCCCGTCATAAGGAAGCTGCGTGTGATTCTTGTCTCCTTCGTTCCTGTGTGATTTCCCCATTCTTTTTATGTTTCTGCTACCCTTTTGGCTAACCGCTGCCATTATTTCGATATAGTCGCGTCCATCATGGCCCTACAAGGATTCGGTTTCGGACCGTAATATTTCGTCCAAGTCCAAGACAGAAGGATGACAGGACGAACATCGGACACTATAAATTACTCGAAAATCAGACGACCCTTAATCCCTTCTTTCATTTGCTGAACTTCGTCGCGCCAAGCGTCAGCGAAAAAAGAACGATTCCTCCGAAGAATTCTGAAAGCGAGCGCAAACGCGCATATCCGCCTTTAAATCCCGTTGATGTCTCCGGCCTGCGGATTACCCGGTAATATCATTTAGCTCCGCCGATCGGCGATTCTGCTCGAGGGAAAGATACGGTCGCGAGTCGCAGGAGTCGCGACGGTACGAGTGATCTGAATGCCGTTGGCTCACGTTGAATCAGCGTGCGCCTCGGCGGACCCGTCGTGCCACAATGCCAATGTTTGGACACGCGAAAGGCTTGCTTTTCTTCATTTTCCTCGCAAACAATCTCATTCGACGGCCAATGCGACCGGTCCCTCCTCTCTGCAAACGCGATCTCTAATCCGGCTGCATAAAGCACGGTCGTCGACGGGACATGCAATTGCCGTTAACGACCAGGTATAGAAGGTATGGGGTCCCGATTTCCTTCTCAAAGTGAATCTCCCGCAGTGTTCACGGAACATTTTGTAGCTTCCTCCGGAACGCCATATGCTAGCCGGTGATTCCCCGCGATAATTTGCGAAATCATCGTGTCGGTAATTCCGGCGCGTGCGCGATCTAAGCCGTCGGGTTTATCGTGAACAACGGCAAGTTTTTCATTTTTTCCTCCCACCCCGGGATGCCGAGCGAGTTCCTTGACCACCGCGTGTATTCAAGGATCACGCTGTCGAACGTAATCAACGTCCACCACGGGCTTCGTAGGTTTTTTTCTGATCGTGTAAATCGAGTTTCCAGGGAAACGCAAAAAATTAAGGGCCCTTATGCGTGCCGGTTCAAATTGATCTGGCCGCTCGTTTCTCCTTCCTCATTGTGGTAACGTTACGCGGGTCCTCGTGTCGGATTACATCGGAAAGAGAATTCTGTTATGTAAGAAATACTTTTTGTGTATTTCCGCGCGTGCAAAGCGCGCGATGAAGCCTTCTCGTGCGGGGAAATCCTTTGGAACAGCATTTTCTGTTACATAATATCGCTTCGAATCAAATTTGTTGTATTTAATGGAAATAAGAAATTTATCCATTGACGGCCGAACTTCTCCGAAATTGAAATCAGGAGTAAGCATTGTTCCTATCGAGAGATGCATATCGCGAGGTTCCAGGTGGATTTTTCAAGAGGACCGTGAGTATCTAAGAAACCGCGGGACCCTTCTCGTCTTACTTTCGGAATCGGCGATGGCGTCAACCGGGCCTCGCAGAAATTCAAGTCCGTGACGCAACAATGGTGACTGCTCCTTTTTGGTGAATCGATGAAACTCCTCCCACCCACAATGTATCTGGGGCCGATATCTCGACCGGCCATCTAGACCACCTTCCTTTTCGTTCTCTTTCTCACTCGCCTTGCTTCGCGTTACGTAAAAACGCATTGACAGATCCGAGGAACTCTCACTGACCTAAGCCGGGGTCGAATTCTATTCTTTTCGCTCTCCTCGAGCGGCTCGTTGTGCTCAATCGGGCAACGATCGTTCGGAGGAAAGAACGCGAGAAGGGAGAGCGAGTTACGCGGAATTCAAGCGAACATTAAGTGTGTGCTTCGTCCATTTCGGTTGAATCGATGCTTCTCTTTTAAATAAAAATATAATCTCTGCCCGTTATTTGCTAAATATAATACCTACGTATACTCTTCCTTGAATTTTTTCCTTACTCAGATATGACCAGGAGCAACCGAGGGCGCTCCGTCGGGGATTTTGCATCCAAATGGACAATGACGGCTCAACGATCTGTTTGCTGCAAACAGCTCCATTTCCCCGAGATTAAAGGATTAGGTGTAAGGAGTATACGCCTCGGTGGCCGGCAATAATAGAAGAACAATGACGACGGTAGGGCAGGTGAACGCGCGTCTCCTAAGAATACTGTGTTACCCAAACAAGGATCTTGACCGAGGGAAGAAAGGTGGAGAGAAAGTAACGTCATCGTGGATTATGCGCCCTTCTCCAGGCGTCGTCGGCGTACCGCGGGCATGCTCCAGTAGCCGGACAGGAAGGGATTGTCACGACCCTTAATACTTCTTACTGTCATCGTGATGTCATCCTAATGGTACGGGGGACGCTTTCGGTATTCATCTCGGTGTAATTTTGCGGCCGACTCTCTCTCCTTCTTTGTCGCACCGATACTGGAGTGTAAAATGGGATTTCGCGAAAAGTCCGGGCACAGCACGCACGAGCAGGGTCCATTAGGAACGCCGACCTTCCCCTACGAGCTGGCTTCACGTGTTAATAACGCCGACAATAAGCGCGGACATGTTGGAGACACGACCTGAATTGAAATTTTCACCCCAAGTTAAACCATTGATCCTACGACACGAGAAAAGTTGAGACAGCGAAACAGATTCAATTCTAATTAACTCCTTTTTTCATCCTGATGATGTCTTAAATTACGGCCGAAATTATTATTGCTTAAAGATATATTTCTTTGGATACATTTGCTTAAAAATATTACTTTTTATTGTATATACTGTACTCATTGTGTTAATCCTCCCTGTGATTTCGAGGCGATAAATTCCAAGTGACGATCATCGAAAATCGCGTAAGCGATTGATGGTTAAATACAGGAACGACCCATCGGCGCTCGCTCCAGCTCGTGTCCTGCGACGATCTATTTTCGGAACACAGGTGGTTCCACGGACGAACGGAATCACATGTTGGGATCGTGCCGCAAGTGACGGGAGGAGGTAACCCTTCGATCGTCAATCACCCGGCGATCGCTGCCAACTTCCTTAAAGCGATGGCTTTTATATAGAGGGACATCGATTACACGTTCATTATAACATGTAATTTGTTCTTTTTTTCCAAAGTCTCGAATTTCTTGGAATTTCACTTAAAACGAGCGGAACAGATGTCTCTTGCGTTATATACGAGGAATTTAGAGAATACAGGATAATTCCCGAAGACACGAGGGCTCTCAAATCTAAGGCAATGATATTTCACAGACACACTCGCGCAGACGATAAAATGAGTAATTTGTGAAAGGGAACACGAGAGACGCCGCGCGATGATACTCGAGCGAGACGAGCGAACGTATCGTTGCTTCGCCCGTGTAACTAAATTACCTACGCGACACGGAGGGAGAGTCGCACGCGAGAAACGTTCTGCGTAATTCGACTCCGCTCTCTAAATATCTCACCCTTCTAAATTACGATGGCGTTTGTAGGACGGACGTCCGGTGGTCGAGGGATCGCGTGGTCAATACTCGGCTGCATCCTGGTCCTGAACAACACGAGAATCGAAGAAATCCCACGTTTTTCTCTCCTCCCTGTGAAAGTTCGTTACGATTTCCCGCACGTGCATCGGCTCGTCAAGGAAATGCCGCTCGCGATTTCACATCAGCCCTTCGATCGTGCATACAATAACGAAACAAACGTTATTTCACTGCATTGTGATAACACGTAACGTCGACATAAAAATATGATATAATTAACCATGGAACATTAACTCTGCTTATAACTCTACATCTTAGAGACGTATAGTGATTAAAGAAAGGAAAACGCTCTGACTTTTTAATGTGACATGTTCTAAGTGTGATTCTGAATATCTCTTTATCCACGTCTCAGAGATGCGCGTTGGTTTTTTAGGGTTAAAGGAAAATGCACGTACACAATATTATCAGTACGTTACGAATGAGGAAACTTCTCAACGGAGGAAACAAATTGTTAGAATAATATTTTACGACTGTTTTATATATAGAACGTGTATTTCTCTCTTCAGAAATGTCCCCGCCGTCGTGGGTACGCGATGATCACCATAAATATTATCTCGCCACGAGTAATCCACACGACATGGCGTTGAAAAAAGGTCGGTTAAAAATACGTAAAACGCGGGAGCACTGGGGGTAACAACGACAAGGGAGCATCTCCATTTTTTTTCTGCCGGACGCGTGCGTGTTACGAGGGTCGCGATCGCGAACCCGAGTTGTCAGTATTTATAATGCACGGAACTTTCTTCAAATCGGTATATATATCCTTCAGAAAGATAGCTCTTAGCATAACAATTTTCCTTTCCGCGTGTACGCGCGGCTTCTTTTTTTTTTTTTTTTCATTATTATTCCCTCAGAGGAGGGAAGTTCGAGGGACGGCTTTTAAGCTGAGAAACGTCACGTTCAAAACACACGCGCATTTTACAGTGAGTCCCTCTTCCACCGAAAGGTAACTAACTGCGGGATGTTTGTATCGTCATTCTCACCGATCGATCAAATTATATCGCACGGCATTCAAGCGCATCTTTGATCCCGATCGTCTTAGACCAGACGCAGATATCGCAGGATTGACACATCAGGACAACCGCAATGGCGTCAGTCCACCATTGCGACAATCCTGCTGGGGTTACCCTTCATTCACCCCCTGACGCGCTCATACAGGGGTTGCGGTTCTCTCTATAACCCCCTCCCCTCTCGCACCCTGTCGACAACCCCAAACGAATCTTGACCGGTCAGCGCCGGATAAAAGCTTTTTCCTTCTGCAGCTGTTAAACCGTTGACCTCCGTAGCGTTTCGTGTCGCCGAAACTCACAATGCTCACGGTAGCTCGCGCTATAGATCGCGATGTGAGAGAGACGTGCGGAAAAAAGAGCGTGCGTTTTGCCCACTGACCGATTGAACCGGAGTTAGCGGGATGACCGATTAGTTGTGTGCTCGTCGCAATCCGCTCGGAGAGCAAATTCAAGGATCGGACAAACGCGATAACGCTCGAGCGTTGCGCCTATTTGAAGGAATAATAATCGAGAAATCGTTTCATTGTCATAATTTGGGCTTTCAAACAATTTGACGCGGATTAATGATGCCGGATGTCAAGGTAACTTTTCGGGAATCACATCTGAAAAGTATAATAAAATAACGTCGATATTAAAATAAATACATTTTATAGTTTATATTTATTATATTTATTTATATATTTAATTGATACGATTTATACGTACAATTATGCTTAATGATTTATAAGTGATAAATTTATAAAGTACACTTTATAGATTTAATATTAAAAAATGCATTTCTATATTTATTTGTAACGTACTTGTAATATTGTCGCAACAATCTCGCGTGTTCGATAACAAGTCAGAGCGGATTCTCGCGCAGAATTTTTCCAGAGATCTTGAGCTGTAATTGGGATATTAAGTATGACGCTTCTTATCGCGAGAGCGCATCGTGAGGAAAATTTCGCGCATGGCAAAGATCACGTTGCAGGAATGCGATCGCGAAGTTTTAATTTGAGTTGAACGATATTCCGCTCGGACGTGGCTCTCCCACTCGTGGTATAAGTAAGGCCGATCCGGGCGGAAGCATCCAAGTTCGGGTGTAACCACTTAAATCTTCGGCAAAGTTAAACAACGTTACGTAGCGAGATACTCGCGCGTAAACTCAATAAGCGCGTGATAAGCAAGCGAGCGATCTCTCCCGGGCGGGGAGGGGAGCGACCGACTGCGTAAGTCAGCCGCCGTAATTATCTTTGTTATCTTTTCATTAAGCTCCTATCGAATTGTCGAGCCAAGTGCTCCGCTAATAAAAACAGTTTTATAATCGACAGCGTGTGTATACAGGACGTTTCGCAACCCGCCCTGCAGAAGATAAAGATTCCTCGACCGGTTAATTTGATTCGCGCGCAACGGAGAATTTCAATCGTTCGATCGAGAAGGATGTATTTCGAAAGATCGTTTTATCCGATCTTGGAATTTAACCCTCTTGAAATTTTTACGTTAAAATTTCTCCTCCCCTAATACCTACGGGTCGAAGGGGCCCATACCCTCGGAAATCATAAAAGTTTCGATCATTATCGGGATTATCGGGGTCGCGCGATATTCGAAGCGTATATGTGGGTCACAGGCTTCTTCTTGTCCAATTTAATTTTAATTATAGAACGCATCCTCTATCGTTACGTAACTGCTTCTCGTTTACTCATGTATCGAGTCTGTCGTCATTCGCGTGAATTCACAAAATATCACGCTTGACTCCGTCTCATCTTAATGCGCGGAATAAGAAAATATTCTTAACGGTGTTTCAAAAATGAATATTCCTTCGAATTTACGTAGACAGTTGTAAAAACGCGGCTCTCCTACTTAAATATGTGCGGGCGTTCATTATAACCGCATGATAACACGAGCTTTCATACTCGACGGGATAAGTAAACGTTGGAGGAAGACGCGTATCCAGGGCAACCGGACCCTATCTCATCGTCCGCAGTCCTGAGAGCGTTTCTAGATGTCTTCTTAAGTTGCCGGAACAAACTTCGACCCGGTAGAACAACGTGTAATGCCCGGGGGGAAGCGTACTGGCCGAAGAAAAAAACAGACGAAGGAGAAATTTACTTACAGCGTGGGATTACTGTTTCGCCCTGGGTCATCTTCAGCGCCTAGTAACGAGTAATTTAACTCGCCGTTCTCGCGCTCCTCAAAGGGCGTCGCGTTCTGTTTCTGTGTTAATTAATACGAAGGACACGCGATTTAATTGCTCGGTAAATTAAATTCCCGTTGCGCGTCGGCGATAACACGAGACTCGAAAAGATTTTAATTAAAGACAACGAAGCGAGGTGTGTGCATGAATAAACCGACGGAGATACACACACACACACACACACAATTTAAGGGAATTTAAGTACACATCGTTTCATGTATGCCTTACTATTTCTTAGATCCGAGAGTTACGCAATTTTCAAGCTTGTCGGAAATCTCATAAGTACACTGAAAAAGGTGTTGATAAATATTGTGTAATTTTTTTATGTAGGAAATAATAATGACGCATTAGAAATTATCGATACAGATTTATACGTCGTACTTTGACGATATTTTTTTAAGGCTCCCTCGCTTCTTTTCTCCCCTTCTCATCGAATCGCGTAATGTTCCCGCAATTTTCCGGAAACTTCAAAGGAGCACCGTGGAACCGTAGCAAAGATCACAATGAACGATCGTTATGCGTATTCAAAATGGCCCTACCTGGGTAGGGTGCGGCCAGGAGTCCATTGTTGACCCTTCGCTTTCCTGGAAAACGCAGCCCTTCGTGCAAGCCGACTCACCTATGAGGCGGATGTTGATGGA